GTGTTAAATGTAATTTATTTCTGTGATCAAAGCTGAATTTTCAGCATCATTACTCCAGTCTTCAGTGTCACATGATCCTTCAGAAATCATTCTAATATGCTGATTTGCTGCCTAAGAAACATATATTATTATTATCAATGTTGAAAACTGTTGTGCTGCCCAATATTTTTGTGGAAACCGTGATGCATTTTTTTTTTTACTATTTTTGTTTTTGCTAAATATGTTTTTGCTTTATTACATATTACACTATTTTGTATATGTAGTTTTTAAAAATTATTAATAGATTACACAGAAAACAAGCCGCATGACAATATTACAACACCCCCATCCAGTTTAGTGATTAAAACTGTCACTCACTGCAAGTTCACAGTTTCACATGACTTTGAGCCATACTTGTAATCTTGATTATCACTGTAATTATTATTTTGATTATGTGGCTCTGCTGCATAGTTATTGAACCTCTGAGCTGTTAAGCTCATTAACGCATGGATTGCAGACAGTCTTTACATTAGCTCTGCTGATACTGATGGTCTCCGTTGTAACAGTGATAAAGTAATAAGCCGGCGTTGTTGGCAGGCTGCGGTGATGAGGGAGTTGAGCTTTAAAACCTTGGAGGCTTTTAGGCACAGAGCAGCGTAAGGGAATGAAGTGGAGGCAGTTTGTAACATATCAGGTGCACATGTATTGGTTACAGTGTTTGAGAAAACATATTTCGGTGATGCATTATGATGAATTTCCCTCGACAGCCTAGACATTTCACAGCTGCCATTTCAACAGCCTGACTGAGTTAGTTAGTTGGTACAGCTAGTTAAAGCCACTAAAGCATGAACCAAGTTTTAGTTGTCACCCACTGCAATGTGCTTTGACTGAGAGCATTTTGCTATTTAGGCAAGTGTTTGTGTGTGTGTGTGTGTGTGTGTGTGTGTGTGTGTGTGTGTGTGTGTGTGTGTGTGTGTGTGTGTGTGTGTGTGTGTTTTATCAGTATGCATCAGGATTTTTCATCTTTCAAAGCGTAACGGAGTTTGCCAGCACATTTACACAAGCCTCTTTAGGATTGGTTTTATAACTTTGATCTTCATAAATCATATGTATTTAGGCAACACTTACAGCATGCTGTATTAGCTCCTCAGCGCATTTGCATCTCTGTTTCCTTTATTCTTTGAAAGGCCCATGAATGTGAGCAATACAGTATGTGTAAATATAACTACACCCACACAGAATCTACACACATTATCTCTGCTAATTGTGGCGTGAAAACTGCAGAATAGATTTTATGGTGATATGTTTAAAAAAATTGAAATCAAAATTGGAGTTTTGTGTCTTTTAGTCCATGTCTAAATGTATCTAAATTTTTGTCCAATAAAATGCCTCTTGACTAACAAGTGTAATTAACAAATGATGGTTCACAGCTTTGATGTAAACCAGGGGTGATTATTTAAACATGTTGTTATGCATGGCATCCATAAAAGTTTAATTAAAAAAATTAACAAATTTTATCGAAACCTGCCGATTCATGTTATCCTGTCATAACATAATCACAAACTTTAAAATAGTGCAGAATCATTATCATAATACTTGTTTTAATACAAAAATGCAAAGTGTGTTTATTTTCACAGTTGAATTAGATTTAATACCAGGTTTCTGGTGTGAACCTACTGAACCTACCTTTTCCCTTTATTTTGCAATTTGCGAATCACCGTCATTATGATTTGTATGTGAAATGTTTAAACGGATATATCCAACATTCATATTCACAGCTATCAGCTTATTTTTTTTTTCTTACTGAAAGCTAAAAGCAACAAAATACAGCAGAACAAATTCTGAGCAGTGCTATTTTAGTATGACTGATCATATTATATTTTATCATATTATGTTTTTGGTTAATATTTAGATTTTATTATGTTTTCCATTTTACTTTTAATTTTAGTCAAAGTTTTAGTCATTTTTTTTTTCATTTATACTTTTGGATATTTTAATGTCTAAATAGTTAGTAGTTTTTAGTTAAAGTTTATTTCATTGTTTTATTACATCAACATAAATATGTTTATATATATATATATATAATATATATAATTTATAATATAATTATAATTAAAAAAATATATATTGTTTAGTTTTATTTAACGATAATAACACTGACTGTGACTCTTAAAAAGAACAGCAAAAACAAAACACACTTAAAGCAACTGTGTGTAACTGTAACTGTTTTATTTTTACCCTGAAATATCAATTTCAGAATAATTCTGATGAAAAACTAACTCTAATATGGTGAATGGCTTGTTTCTTTCCCGAAACTCTGCAAAAAGGGCAGATTGCTTTGCGACAGCAACAAATGCACATGAACAGTTATGGACTGTCATGAACTGTAGGGGGCTCCAAAGTCGTAAAAATACACAAAACACATACAGTTTTTTTTACACTTAATTAATTCACTTCAAGTAGCAAGTTAATTTGCTTAAAGACAAGCCCTTCAATTCTGTTTCCCCTGTTGAAAAAATCATATGCTGGTTAGGTATGTTTTGAAGCATGGCTGCTGGTTTGAGCTGGTTTAAGCTGGTCCTTAGCTGGTCATGAGCATGTGCTGGTTGCTAGTTGCTTAGGACCAGCACATGACTAGCTAAGGACCAGCTTAAAGCAGCTCAAACCAGCAGCCATGCTTCAAATCATACCTAACCAGCATATGCTGTTTTTTTCAGCATGGTCAGCAGGAAGTACATCAGTACAGGAAAGAAAACGGTGCTTGTCAAGCACTTTCATGGGGTTTTTAAAGTGAGCTGAGAACACTTATCAGCAACTGAAAGCATTGTCAACTGAAATATTTAATATGAAATATATAAGTGGAATTCTGTGGCTGTATATATTGTGCAAGTCTAGTGATGGGTGCTTTTCATGCTGTGTGTGTGTGTGTGTGTGTGTGTGTGTGTGTGTGTGTGTGTAATTACATATCTCCTCATAGACTGGTTGAACTGGTTGATATTAGTTCCTGTATTGCCTCTTTACTGTCATTAGATGATTTACCATAAATGCGGGTTATCTTAAACTGCAGAGCTTGATAGGCAGCGAGAGAAACTTCTTAAACCTACTTATTATCTTGCCAATTTGGGCAAACTGGGTAACGTTTGTGACAATCAAGTGAATAACAGACAGGATGAAGATGATGAAGTGCTCACAGAAGTTATGAATGTTAAAGCTGAGACGTGTATTTGTCATGTGTTCGTACTCTTATCAAAGCTTAAATGCAGAGACAGCTGTAAGTAAACCATTTGTAGGTCGATTCCCTGAAAAGTGTAAAAGCTTGATTTTTTGGCAATCAGTTTGAGAATCAGGTCCTCTCCTTGAACTTGACACTTGCCACATTAAAGAAAAGGTGGCAAATTCTGTTCAATTATTATGATATTCTTATGTTTTTTATTCTATGTTCATGCTATCTCCACATTTGTGTTTTTGCGCTTGTCTCTTCCTGCATTCTCTCTTAGTCATCGTGCTGTTGCTGGCTCATTGTAATGTGATCTTGAACTGACTGACTGTACCTCCCATCTCCCCTCCTTCTTTTCTCAATCCTGGTCAGATTGAAGGATGGTTTCTGTCACAAACAAAGCCTCAAGTCAGTTCACTTGGTGGTCATTTTAGCAGCACATCCGGACAACTGTTGTAATGCAGCTGCTGACTACTTGACAAGACAAGAACAAATTATGCAAATCTGTTTGCTAACCTTAAATTTCAGTTGCATGTCAAATCAGATAACAGTATTATAAAGGTTGGCGCTTTCACTCAAAACAAGCTGAAAAATTTACATTTACATCATTCCGAATTTGGCAAAAAGTCCAAAGCTCTGTCACAATTTGGAAAACAACTATATTGCTGCCTTTGGTTTTTAACCAAACCAAACTATTTTTACCATTTCTTTTTCTAAAAAAAGGCTGACAGTAGCTGGAATGACTATTGAATGACCAACTTTCAGCAGATTAATTGTTCTGGCCATTATATCAATCTTTCTCTCGGATTTATCCATACTTTGAGAGCCCACTGGAAAGCATATATTATTCAGGAAACTATGGTGTACAATTTAGAACGTATTATAATCTGAGAAACATTCATTCTAACCACACATATTATTTAGGAAATGTAAATAAGGTAGCTGTTTTCTTATACAGGAATAGTTCATCTAAAAATGAAACTTTGCTGAAAATGTGCTCACCCTCAGGCCATCCAAGATGAAGATGAGTTTGTTTCTTCATCAGATTTGGAGAAATGTAGCATTGCATCACTTGCTCAGCAAAGGATCCTCTGATGGATTTGTTTCTTACAAACACACAGCTTTTCTCTTCTCCAGATGTTAACTGATGGACTGGAGTTCTGTGGATTATTGTGATGTTTTTATCAGCTGTTTGGACTCTCATTCTGATGGCACCCATTCACTGCAGAGCATCCATTGCTGAGCAAGTGATGAAATTATGCATTTCTCCAAATCTGTTCAGATGAAGAAACAATCTATATATTTGGCCTGAGAGTAAGTACATTTTCAGCAAATTTTCAATTTGGATTGAACTATTTCTTTAATTATAAGGTGAGACTTGTTAAGAATTGTGTGTGTTTTTTTCTGCCAGTGGCATTTTTAATCTTTTATACACCTTTATGTTTTTGACTTTGTCATAAAGCTTTACATTTTTTGAGCATTAGCGGTAATACATGTTGTTATGTTTCAATCCAGCTGGTATTCACCGTTCCGTGAGCTTTGATTGTAGGAAGTCTTCTGATCTTTAATTTATCTGCTGCTTCAGTGTGCAGCTGCAGACGAGAGAAAGAAGGGCTTGAAAGAGATGAGAAATGGATGAATCAGTTTACCCTAAGAACTTTCTTCAGGGTCATGTTGTGTCTTGTGCCGAATAAATCTGCATTTGCATTTGTAGAAATTAGTAGACATTTTTCTTTTAATTTCATGTGAACTAAACATAATGTGGTTTGAGTATGTGACTCTTTGTCTCTTGTTTTCTCTGTAGAAATATCGGTATCAGGATGAAGAGACTCCGCCCCTGGAGCACAGCCCCGCCCACCTGGCTCACAGCAAGAGCGCCGAGATGCTTCACATGAGTGATAAGAACCTGGCTGCCATGGACACCATGCACAGTTACGCCCCACACACACACATCTCACCAATAAAGGTACGGACACACACACACACACACACACACAGGATTGTGCTGTTAATCCTGTACGTTTCCCAGAGTAAGATTTTATTGTTGAGGTGTTGCTGTTTTCTAAGCTCAGGAGACCTAGCAGAGTTTTCTATTCTATTCTATTCTATTCTATTCTATTCTATTCTATTCCACTCCACTCTATTCTATTCTAATCTATTCTATTCTATTCTATTCCCTCCGGAGAAATAGATGCAGTCATTCACTGGAATACTCTACTCAACTCTATTCTATTCTATTCTATTCCCTCAGGAGAAATAGATGCAGTCATTCACTGGAATACTCTACTCTACTCTATTCTATTCTATTCTATTCTATTCTATTCCCTCAGGAGAAAGAGATGCAGTCATTCACTGGAATACTCTACTCTACTCTACTCTACTTTATTCTATTATATTCTATTCTATTCTATTCTATTCTATTCCCTCAGGAGAAATAGATGCAGTCATTCACTGGAAAACAATAAGATTATACTGCAATATAATAAACAGTCATTTACTATTATTTATATACGGTAATTTAATAATATTTTTAATTAGCTTTTATTTTTATATTTTCATTTCATTTTAGTTTAAGCTTTAGTAATTTTGCTATGTGCTTTTGTTATTTTTACATTTTTGTTTTGCTACAACTTAAGCATATTTTATTTCAGTTAGTTGCTGAAGCAAAATTTCAAATATTTGTTTGTTAGTTTTTTATTAACAGTTAATTGTTTTTATCTAATATTTATATTCCATTTTATTTCAGCTTTATTTCAATTAACAAAACCATTTTTAATAGTTTTAGTTTTTGTAGGCAGAAAAGGCCTATATACTATTGTCAATAGTGTAGTGATGTATGAAGCACAACTCACAAAACACTTAACCTCTATTAGTCAACATGGGAATTTGCATGAATTTCCAGATGTGAAATCTGTGTGGGGAAATCTTGTGTCCTCTAGCAAAATTCCTTATAGCATGCATACCTATTGAAATGACTGGATTTTGTATGTGAAAATTCACACTAAATGTTCATTTCTGAATCATATTGATCGTAAACTTTGGTATTCATGCACTTGAGTACATTTGCAGCATATGCTCTCCATTTGCTCTTGTTTTTGTCTAGTAGAAACAATTGCGATGTTGAAGACATGTAATTTGAGACGTTCACTTGCCAACATACTCAGATAAACCACTGTATAATATAATACTTATTCACTGAGGTTATCTACAGTCCTCCACTATGCGATGTGTGTGTGTATCATCTCTGTTCTTTTTGTCTTTGAGAAAATGTTAATGTTTTCCATGAGTTATCCACACAATCGGTCCATTGCATTATGTTTATGTGTCTGAACTCTCTCATGGCCTGGTCTACAGTGCTGTATTCCTCTATGGCAGCCGTGTGCTCTTCTCTACTATTTCTTTACTCTTCTGTTCCTCTCTGTGTCTTACCGTCTCTCCGTCTGACCTCTGTGTTCATTTCCTGCCTGGTTTCCCCATTTCCTCTGGCTTCAGTAGGTGTGTGTGTGAGTCATGTTGTGTGTGTGAGACTCTAAGTGAGTTCTGTACACCTCTGCTGTGTGTAGGCAGATCAAACCCATCCAATCACTCTGGACTCTCCAGCACATTAAACACACACACACTTCCGTCTTGCGTAATTTCTCAACACAGACTCACATACAGTGCACAGATTGGCACAGTACCGTGTTATTTGTTCTATTTTTACACTATTTATATGGTATGTACAATATGTTCTGCATGCATTGAAGACCAAGATGGTCCAGATTGTACATTTACCTAAGTGTGCAGCATACAGCCAAAGTACACTGTGTAAAATAGTCGGTTCAAATTGGCCATCCTTATCCAGCATGACTATGATTTTTTTTATCTTCCATGAATTGAGCTGACAAATGTTAATATATTTTTTGAACAAAATCTACTTGATTTAATACCCTTTTTTTTTTGTATATTTATAGTAAGGAGTATGCTACTATACAAACTCTATACTAGTGTGACATACCTTTAAATAAATTGTGTGGCCTAATGGTTTAATATCTACACTACACTATGTTTCGTTCCGGATTGAATCTGTTTTTGAACGAATCATTTGAGTGATCCATTCAATGATCCATTCATAAAGGCAGTTGCTTTATAATCGAATCATTTGAATGAATAATTCAATGAATCACTCATTAAGTCAGGGACTTGCTACCACCTACTGGTAGTTTTAGTGTCATATCTGTTTATCCATGACAGGCCTAAACCAGTCAAAATATTGTTTAATTACCTTTATTGAAAAAATCAATAAGTTAGGCCTATCAATTTTTGTTTATATCGTACACCCCTAGAAGTATTCTCTGACAAAAGAGAATCAACAAAAGATGTTGATTCAGGAACATGTTTTACTTGGCAAAATCACGGCGACCTAATAATATCTATGCCCACTCAGTCTTGATGGCAAACACAGATCAGTTTTTGCCAATAACCGATAGTTCCAGCAATCAACTATCGGTGCCGATTAATCGGCAAAACCGATCAATCAGGCGAACTCTAGTTAAGGCTGCTCTGTGCCTGCTCAAAATTCTGTGTAAAGACGCAATGCTGAATAAAAGCCAGACTAAATTATTCCTGCTTTGAGCCTCCTCGGCCCCTAATACAACAATATGCTGTTATAATTGCTATGTAAATGCATTCATGCCACCTCTGAGCAGCATTAAACTCTCTGTGTAAAGATGGCTAATTACCACTTCAGAAGTGCTTCTTTGCCTCCTTTGCAGTGGAAATTCGGTATTGGTTTAATAAAAGCTGTTATTAGACTAATGAGAAAGTTTTGAGTTCTGAAACTTACAGGATGTTTTTATTGTTCTCAGTTTATGATGCCATTAATTTTTCGAGCAATTCATGTGAAAATATCCTTTGAAGAAAGACAATTTTTGAGTATTAGTGCTGAACATTGACTATGTATGCAAATATATGTGAGAGGCCAAAATACTGACACACAATATACTTATAATAATAATAATAATAATAATAATAATTTAATGTATAAATTAAATAAGTTTAATTTATATAGTGCCTTTACCAAGCTCAAGGACGCTTCACAATGACAAAAGCAAATAAACAATCATGTCATACATAGATGGACAAGACATTTGCCAAGTCCAGAACGTGCAATTGCAGTTGCATACCGCAGTAATAATACAGTATCATAATCACAATCACACACACACACACACACAAAAAAAAACATTATAACTGGTAATATTGGTTGAACATATAAGTTTTGAGTTTAGGCTTAAATTCGTGGAGTGTGGTTATTGTCGAAGAGCCAGGGGCAATGTGTTCCAAAGTTTAGGAGCCACAACAGAGAAAGATCTACCTCCCATAGATGATAATCTCGGAACACAAAGAAGTTCACCTCCAGATGATCGAAGTGGACGAGAGGGAATATATGGAGAAAGCAGGTCAGAGAGATAAGTAGGTGCAAGACCATGGAGTGACGTAAAGGTAAGCAGAAGAATTTTATAAATGATACGAGAGGACACAGGTAGCCAGTGGAGGTTGAATAGAATAGGAGTGATATGTGCAGACCGTTTAGTGTAAGTTAGCATTCTCGCTGCAGAATTTTGAATATATTGCA